AATGCGTTAACTTGCACTCGTATACTGAAATGCTTCTTGTATTACATTTTACATCTTTCTTCATAGTGTAGATCTTGTCATTGAAGTCTCTCTGTTTGTTTTCTGAGAGATAAGGATTTCCTTTTCATGCTGGCCATTCAATTGGCTAACCAGCATTTGCTGCCTGGACACAAAGGCCTCACACACCTACTGGTCTTATTACTTCGGGTTTACACCGGATACGTGGTGTGTGAGCGGAACCTCAAGTGGTGCAGCGTAAGCCACTTGGGGTGATGGTTTAAAGCGCAGGTATCCTTTGGCTTTGGTTGCCGTGACGGGCTAATCCGTTTCGGATGCTGCCAGCCATACTTTCCTGCCATTTCGAAGTCTGTTTAGCAACTTAAGTACTTTTGCTTTAGAAACCTTTGCCTTATCTGGCGAGATAGAGTTCCACTGATGTAAGCGTCTCAGGTGACATCATGATTTTGTTTAGCCGTAGTAGCTGTGAGGGCAAGGTGACCTGACCTGCTGGGCGATTTGATTAGGTTATTGCCCGGCTTTAGCTAGAAGGTGTCGGGTAAAAAAATGTGTTTCTAGTTCGCACTTAGAGACTCTGGAGGGCTGATATGACCACTTCAAGCGACTCATTGGTGGCAAGATGTAGTTAATTAGTGTATCCCGTTTGTTAGGTGGGGAGTCTTCAGTAGTTCAAAGAAAGCTGGGAAACGTTCAATACCAATGGTTCTCTTGTTTTGAGGAGTCTTTCGCGCTAAGTTCGCTATCGAAACGCTCGGGGCGAAAAAAGCGACCCATCAAAGAGATTGCTTGTGAAGTGAATAAGTTGTTGCGGTATACCAGTCGAAATCAACGGGGCGTTGGCAGATGCGATGATCAAATGAACTGTCAAAAAGTCAGGCTTTAATAGTCTAAGTGAGAGTATGAAGGCTGTAATACGCAATGAAGAATGCGAGTGGAATTCCAACATGACTGTGCACGTGGAGAATAGTTTAAACAAAACACTTATCATTACGTCAGCATCTGAACAAACAACTCCGCGGGCATTATTTAAAACCGGACAGGAGGAAGGCGGCTAAGTTGAGTTCATCATCATCATCATCATCAT